TTTATTCATGTTTGTTCGGTACTAGAGACGAGCGTACGTGTATCAGATCGATTTTATTCTCAGCGTCACTCACGGGATTCGACAAACTCATAAAATAAAAAAAAATTCAATGATACTATTTCCGCGATGCGCGTTCACTTCTCTCAAACTCAGCTTCTGTAACGGATAAGCCCGTCATTTGAATGAAGGATTCGATAACGTGGGAACTACTCGTGAAAGAAGTACGCGCTACACAAATGTACATATTCTGCGTGTAGCGTGAAGAGGCCCCTCGTATACGCTTGCGCCCAAAGGATAGATACGCAAATACTGGATTGAAACTGATGTTACCGAGCCAGCCAGCCAGCCAACCCACATCCCCTAAGAGAAAAAAGAGAGAAATAGGAATAGGAGGAAAAAAGGAAAAATAAGAAAGGTATGAAGAGCTACCACCCCCGGCGCGTTAGCCTCTATGCAAATAAACTGCTTCACGCAACGAACGAGCGCGATATACAGACTCGAGCTCGCGGATCGTAATGCCGCTCCCAGCCTCGTGACAAGATCTTTTATCGCGATTGAACGCACGAGTCGCAACACGCCACCTTCCCTGTGCCGTTGCGATAAGAGCCACCAAGAGAGAACAGAACCAGAAAAGGCACGGCACGTCGTGGAAACCATGCGCAACACGACGATAGAGGCCTAGAGGCGACTAGAGGTGGAATCGGGGAGCGAAGAGGGAGGGGAAGAAAGACGAGGGAAGGATTATGGAGAAGGTACCACCACGTTGGGCCATCATCAATCTCTCGGCGACACTTCGCTGAAACCCTCGCACATTCGAGCGAGAGCGAGTTAAAGTACGGAATAGAGCGAGATATTCGCATAATGCGACCAAAGTTTAATTACCTCGCGTTACCACGGTGTCGTAGGATTCTCTCACCCCCGGTTCTCCGAAATCGCCCAGTCTCTGACCTTACTTCGTCGACGGATTCATCAACGGCCACGACGGCCATTCTAGGACCGGAGACGTACGGAGATAAACGGGGAGATAGCCACGGGAGAAAAGAGAGAAAGAGAGAGTGGGAGATAGAGACGTGTCGTTCTTAAGTCGCTCGTCCGCAAAGTTCCATAGCCATGGGGTCTTTCTCGCGATTTGCTTTTCTCTCGTTTCATCTTTCCACTGCCTTCCGAGCATTCGTGCTTGTAGCTACGCGAGCAGCACGCCGTGGCAGCTCTCTCTCTCTCTCTCACCGTTTCACCGTTCAGCTCCGTTCTCTTCTCCTCGCTCCCTCTACTCCGTCCGCTTTCTCGTGTTCTATCTAATTCTCCATCCAGCTCCGTTCCATTCTATTCGTATTCCTCCATCTCTCTTCCGCCGACGGTGTTCGTTGGTGTGCGTGCGCGGTGTTATGGATGGTAGTGGGTACCCACTTAGAGCGAGCTGCACAGAGCGCAGCCACGCATAAACCAGTTTCCTGGTTATCCGACTCCTCGCATTTTCCTGGTCGACGAATAGCGCGTCGAACCCGCACGGAACGTACCATTAACGGAGGCTTCCCCGGCTCGATTCCGCGGGACTCTCGTAGCGCTGCCGTTGCGATCGACGATCATCTGGGGCCAGTTGCAAACCGGTGGTACAATGCCAACCAGCCTGCCTAAAGGCTTGCCGTATCGCTTTTAAAGCGACGTCGTTGCACGGAGAGCCCGCACATGTTTCGATGTTGAGCATCGAATAATTATGTAACGATCCTCCCCTCTCTCGGTAGGATCGCCGAAGAGAGACGTTATCCATTCGTCTGGTATGCGCTGCGACTCTGCGAACGTTGGAAACGAGATTCAGAGATTGCCAGTGAATTTTCGAGCGGAATCGTTAATCGACACCGCCATTCCGTATATCCGTGGGAGGCGCGAATTGAGCCGCTGTGCGAGAGCATATCGATCGGTGAGATGTTATCGAACGATAGACGAGCATTTACGGGACGCATTCCAGTAATTTAATCTAACCGAAGTGCTGGGTACACAGAAACGAAATCGGGGAGACGACTCGGGAGACAAGTGGTATGGAAATTTCAGCGCGTTTTAATGGAACGTTATTTCATATAAAAAAAGAAGTTGGCGTTTCTCTAATCGTGAGACACCAACATTAGAAATTTAACACTCGAGAGAAGAGAACCTCACGCGATAAAGTGGTACGAATTAAATCACTCAGCGACTTTCTTAACGATGCGGGTATCATCCATAAATCTTAAGGGGCTCGTACATACGCGACCGAACGTACCGTGGAATCCACGACGACGACGACGACGTGGCATACGTTCACAAAAGCCGCACTCCTGTAACCTTCTGCATAACTTTGCGAATCCGCTTGACCGAGAATGGGTATCGAGAACGGCCTTACGCCGTTATGTGATAAGTCGCGTGTCCGTTAATGTTACGCGAGTCACTCACGGTCGTGAGTCACCGCGTCGTAACCTCGTAGCACATTTGGCAGCCAGTCGGGAAAGCATATTCTAATTGACCGATCGACTAAGTTCTCACGACGCCGTCCGGCAGATAGATGAGAGAAAACGAAGCGATCGATCGCAAGGGGGGGGGGGGGCGAATTAATCGATCGACGTTTCAGCAACGCCAGGCGCAATGTACTCGACAGGTATAGGTACTGGTTATCCGTTTAATTTTCATAAGAATCGCTTTGGTTCATCCGGATAGTTGATACAAGTTAATGCAACACTATAGACATACACGCATATACCTGACATTGGCATTACCAGTGTGCAATAACCGCACGGCGTTGATGCTATTGCCCACCGATTGCTGTAGTAATTATCTTATCGTGCCGTGTGATCGCTCTCCTTGCGCACACCGCCGCCGCCAATGCTACGGTATCTTTATTAGTAATAACTTAACGCGCACGTTAATAATATTCAAACCGGTACATATGTGGTTGCCGGTGTGTCCGGCACGAAAGATTTTACGGCGAGCTCGACTATTCGACAGCGCCGATGATCTATCGTTTCCTTAGATTCTACGGGAAGTCAGAATCTCGTTCGGTCACACACTGTCTGACGGCTTGTAATCTCTCGAGTATAGAATTTCAAATTGCCATTCGCAAAATGGGACAGTCGGCGATGTAAGATTATCCCGCTGTCCTCTTTATCAAAAGAACGTGAGCCAGACGCCGAATTATGGAGCAGGACAGAACGAGAGGGAGCCGATCGTTGGGTCGATTGATGCTCAAGGGCGAACGGATAGTAGCCGTAAATCGATGGTCGCGACGACAGCGAAGCGGTCGTTTCTTTGCAAAATTCCGCGGCGCGAGATAGCCGTTTGCGATTGAACCCGATGGGACATCCAGAAACCGTTATTCCGCCATGGTGACGCGATGGTACAGGCACCTGGTACCGAGCGCTGCCCCTCTCTCGATTGTCCTTTCCCTCTTCCTCTCTGTCGTCCCCTTCTTTCTTTCGCTCCTTCTTTCCACCTTTTTCTCCGTGCATCTCGCGCTGGAAGCTTTCTGAGTGCAGATCGTTCGCCCGAGTGTTTCCACGGAGACACCGATGCTCGGTCGCGTTGTTCACACGTGAACATTCAATTTTGCTCTCTTTGAAGCCCCTTCTTTTCCCTCGCTCTCTATCACTCCCGTTTCTACGCCCCGTTCATTCGTCCTGTTTACCGCACGGCATAGTGCAACTCCCACTTCTCGGTTCTTAGTATGCGTCCGCGCTCTCTCTCTCTCTCTCTCTCTCTCTTATCTCGCGACATAATTACTATTTACCAGACACGCATCATCAGCTCATTCTACGAGTCTTCTATGGCCGTAACAAGTACCAAGTAATGACAGAGAGTGCCTTGCGTCCGTTTACTCCGTCTAGTTCCTTGCACTGAGGGAATTACCTTCGCTGGTCGGTGGTTCACCACGCGTGCCGGCGTGAAATGCTCTCGCTCGCTCACGTATCCATTGCACGATACGTGCTACTCACATTCATACTCTCACCAATTAAACATAACCATCCAGTGTCATATTCTTAGATCGGTACACGCGCGGTGTCGTTGCGTACACGTGCAACGGTGATTTTGCGGCCGGATGCATCCGCGATTGTCCGAATCGGTCGACATCACACGCTCACACGCTGCAAAATGATACCGCTCTCACGCCACTGACGGCGGAAGCAATTGCGAAATGAATTAACTTTGCGGCCGATTCGGCAGCGATCCCTCGAGGCGATCGATCCGTTATGTTGCTTGCGAAAGAGCTGAGAGAGAATTCGAAGCAGTACTGGGAATATCGTACTTATCTTCCGCGTTCTACAGAATCTTTATCCTAGTTAAAAAAAAATAACAGGCGACAATATATGCTTAGCTGTCAGATCCCTTCTCTCGTGGTGTCTTGTTTGTCAATGTATAAAAAAAAAGAGAACCTTTCGAATAAGTGACAGTGGAGACTGATATTCTAAAAGAGGATAAGAGGACGTCAAGGAGCTAGTAAATCCTTGTCAGCGTATAACTTAACACGTAAAGTATTACGGCTCACCCAGCTTTGGCTTAGTCCAATAAGAACATAATGTGTCATCGTGCAAAAATAAATCCTATTGAAGGCGCGATCGCGGAAGATGTTAAAGTATAGGTGGGCGACAAGTGGGTTCAGGATCCGCTAAATCCGCATTGACAACCGCGAGCTGGCTATTTTCGGCGTCTAAAGTGGCGTGACTTCACCGATCCGGACTTGGAAATGTAAAGAAAAAAAAAAACAGGAAAAAAAGGACAGAAAACGGAAAGGTAGAAGCGCGCGGAGAATTTGAGCGGGGAGACGCGAAGTGGCCGATCAAGAGAAAGAGAAAGAGGTAGGAGACCAGTGATGTTTTCAATGGTGTTGTACCGGCGATCGAATTGTGCGTACCGTTCTGTCCTCCTTAGACGGCAGCGGTCTCGGTCCCCTCCGGCAGACGTCTTCGGTCGCTCGTGGAAGAGCCACACTGCCAGGTGTACACAGTGCCTAAGAGCCAGTCGGCCGACATAGTTACATCCTCTGAGTGGCCGCGGCGGTCGCGAGACTCTCGTATTGCGAATCAGCGTGCTACGTCTGTGATTTCGTGGTGCGGTTTACGCCATGCGCGACAAACCAAAGTAATCGAGTTTCTTCTTTTCCCCTTTGGATTTCTCTTTGGATTTTTCCCTGTGTCTCTCCCTTTTTCGCGGACCGTATACAGGCTTGGCCCACGTTTGTGTGTACTGTTTCAACATTGTGCGCTAACGGCCTTTCTCAAGAGAGCTCGCGCGCTTACCGATGATCCCGTGAGAAAGGTGTCGGTGGAATTCGCTTTCGCACGGCGGCGTAGGAGTGCGGGATAAAGCGCCGCCGAATTGCAACGTGCAATATCGTGCCAGTGGCAAATCGCGAGCAATTCGCGTCCCACAAAATTCGACATTGATAGCATCGGCTACCGCTGCTGCTGCTGCTGCTGCTGCTGCTGCTTCTCTCGATCGTTCGACTAGGTACGTTTCCTGGAATTCATCTGTGTACCGAAAGTACACCAATAGCGCATCGGTGTGTTTTCGATGTGCAGTATGCGTAGGGACGCACAAGCCGCACATTTCGAACGGCGGTATATTTTATCGTTATTTTCGGCGGAACGGAACTGTCAGAGTTTGTCCGGATTGCCATTGGATCGCGATTCCATGGGGTCATAGTGGTCCACAAAAGTATCCGGCGATTTAAATTCCCGCATATGCACGCCGCGCTGTTTGTTATTTATTGCGCAATGTATGCAACGGTGTAACGGAAATATGAACGATTCTCAATTTTTATTGCTCTGTTACGCGTTTTTAATATTCTAATTGTTATTTCAATTTATTCCTATCGCCCAAGCGTGTTGTATATACACAATCTGTCATAATAGTGCTACATGTTGATAAATGCAGATCCCGCGTTATAAATATTAAATTATAAATTGCACGTCCATACTTGTCTTATAACTTGGAAGCATTTTAAATTCAGTAATTGTGATTCATATGTGTGCGTCTTTAATTTATAAATTGATTTAATGCGTATTACGATTAAATTTGTAAAATTATTAAGATACTACATTAATTTTTACATATATAAAATCTTTTAGTATAAGAATCTTGTTCCTCTTTAAAACTACTATTATCATAGTCTATTTTAATGCCATATTAACCGAATTTTCAAAGCATTGCTGACTATTCGAAAAATTAGCGTCGTTACAAATATTCTTACTTCATCTTGCATTATTAATATATAGGCAAATCTTATTTCCTAATTTACTATTTCTGTTCCCGTTCGCTTATAAGAACAGCGCGACACTTGACCAACGGCGATACATTCCATCCCGTTAATCCCTGCTTCCGTTAATTCCCCTTTATTCAACCCGTCAGAATGGTGAAGCATTCGCTTAAGCAGCAGAGAAAATAGTCTCATAACGAAGAAAAACGGTTCAGGAAAACATTTAAGACGTTTAATTCTACGCGATCTTTTTATTTTACACTCAACTCTGAAAAGTAGTATCGTTACTATTGTCATTAAATATAAGATTCCACGAGACTCTCAAGCAACCTTCATCATATTCATATGCTTTAATTTTTCTTCCATTTTCAACCTTTCTTCTAAAATTTTCATAGTAATTTCCATAATGAAGAAGATAAATATTAAAAGAAATTTTCACGATGAAAGTTGCACGACATTTCATATAATATTTTTAACATTATTCCGGAAAAGTAAGAAAGTGTACAGACTTGTCGGATTTCTGTTTGCATTTCTGAAATTAAAAATGAAGATAACAATTTTCTGTGGAAAATAAATTTGTTCCCATTTCTATTCCCCCCCCCCCCCTCCCCCCAATGACTAATAATTTTCTTTCAAATTCTCTCAATATCGTGCTCTTTCTAGAATAGAGAATAATTTCTCTTACTCGATAGCATACGAATCGAAGATGTTTATCTAAAAAAACTTACACTTTTCGGACGATAAAAAAATTTTATATTAAACGCCTATTCTTTTTTTCTGTTGCAGATTACACGCGACCACGACGTTACTGTATTCTGAGCGTTCAATCGAGATACGACAATGACGAGACCGTATCGTCGATATCTCGTCACGTTACTGTTGCTGTTGCAAACCATCTCGAGGTACGGTCAGGTGGTTGCCGCGGAATCGACGCACGCGACCGATCTGTCGCCGTCGTCCGCGTCCGTACCGTCCGGTCTCTCCGGTCCGGATTACACTGGACCATCCGCGGGTTCGGACGAGTGCGATCCTGAGATGGTTGGCTTCGAGCTTGTAACCGGCTACGTGTACACCGCGCCTACGAACATGCTCGAGTCCATACCGGGCACGTTGATGCTTACCGACTGCCTCGAGACCTGTCAGGCAAACGACTCCTGCCAGGCGGTCAACTACGAGACGGGCCTTTGCGTCCTATTCAGCTCTAACGCCGACAGCAATCCAGGTAAGATTGAATCGTTATCGTATCTTCTTAAAGACTGTAGTATGAACTATCGACTATATACGCGCTGATGCTAACAAACTCCCGAGGCTACTCCACCCGATAACTGTGTTCTAACGTGGATATGTTTTTTTTTTTTACGAGTAAAAAGTTAAAATGGAACATGGATTACTTGATTACCTTATTTACGTGGACGTTAATTACGAACATTCTACAACTTCATGGTGGCATAAAGGAATAATTTCTGCCACGCTAAGCGTTTTTAAATATTGATAGAGTTTTGTTGTACCGTGCATTTAAAATTAATAGCATTGCTTTAACAGATGCATTTACGGAATGATACTGTTACCGTCTCTGTTAAGAAAAATCCAATGGCAATAATATTTCGAATGGCGAGTAAACCGAGATTGATGTGTGATAATCTTTTCTTGATCCGTTATCATTAAAATTAGATTTCCATATGAACATGAGTGAGCCTCGAGATCCCGCGCGTTTTCTTGTTTTGCACAATTATAGCTTTTCGTAGGATAACCGAGGTATGTTAAGATCGTTTCACATCAGTCTTGTACGAACATTTTGTGTAATGTAAGGATCGCTTTGGGCGAACTGCAATAATTTTCTGTACAATGCCCGCGGTACCAATTGCCTTGATCTACCGGATGAAAATAAGCGAAACAAAACGTGAGACATAATAGACGGTGTCGTCCGGTACTCACGTCGGTGAGAATCGGGTCGATGAGCTTATCACACGTTCCTCGTAAACCGTACACGTAATTTTTCACCTGTCTAGTCCATTAATTAATACATTAATAATGAAAAGATATTAAGGATAAGATAATTCCGTTGATTAAAGATTCTAAACGTGTATAAGAGACTGTACGCTCGATAATTTCTCTAGATTATGGAAATGGTGAAGTGAAAATATTAAACATGAATTTTCACATTCGTATTAACGGACTTGGAAATACTTATTAAAATATGAATTAAGATTAATTATGACAGGTAGTAAAATAATTTTCATATTTAGTTTTATATAAATTGATTTCCGTTAAAAAAGTTGATCAAACGTCAAGTTAATGTGTTAGATTTAAAAAATCAGTAAAATAAAGATGTTAAAAAATAATTTATTCTTAAAAATGGAAGAAAAATTGTCCGTAGAAAAGTAATAAGATTATCTTTCATTAGCTTGCTGATGTATGCAAGTATCGAATATTTTCGTAATCCACCATGCATGATCTATATAACCCAGCAAGTTTAACTCTGCTGTATATTTTAAACAAATTCTCCAATGTCAAATCAATATCGTATAAAAATATCGGGGATTTTGCATCGAACTGTGCAATAATCGTTCCCAACGTGTGTAACAATCTGTCACAAATATTATCTTTCACAATATATTTCAGAGTTTTCAATTTTTCCAGAAATATATCCAATATTTTCGATAGAATCAGTATTTTCGTATTTAATTGCAAATGTATGTACATATATTAGAAATTTCCGTGCACTAATTATTAAAAAAAAATATATATATATATATTAAACTATTAAAATGCAACCTACAAATATGTAGCATAATGAAAATAACAACTGAATAAAATGTATTTTGAATTCTACAATGTGCAATTTGATAAAATTGATAAAATTATAAATTGTGCAATAAAGTTTCATCAATTAATATTGATTCTTTCATCAAATAATGCGAATGGTTGATCGCAAATACCTTTCGGCAAATACCTTTGAAATTGCATCCAGAGATTTTCGTTCGAATCTTATTTAAATTTTTGCAAAGTACGAAACAGCTTTCGCACTTTCAGTGCGGTTGATTTTTCTACGAGAGGCTGCACCCAGCGGAGCTACATATTGGGTGTTGCCCTGAGGTACACTCTTTCTCGAGTATTTCTTGACCCATTATTTTCTCGCTGCTGTTGAATGCCTTTACGGCACGTAGGTATATACGTATGCGAGTATATCTTTCTTGAAGAACTTTGAAACGTTAATAAAATCTTGAAATAAAAATTGCACTAACGTCGCAGTAAATTCATCATACGTTTTTTATAACTCAAATGCCAAATAATGACTCAATATATAATATATCAAATCGTAAAGAGAAAGAAGTAAAAATTATTGTAATGTCTGGAGATATAAAAAATTAAAAGCGATTGAATATTTTAATAGAAAGTTAACGAAAATTCTTCTTTTCTTTCTCTCTCTCTCTCTCTCTCTCTCTCTCTCTCTCTCTTCCTTTCTTTTCTGCTTTCTATCTTCTTTCTCGTATTTTATTTCTTGTGTTCAAACTAAATGTTTCATTTTCGTATATTTCACATGTTTTATAGAAGACTGATATATATATGAGTTATGTGTACATTTATATATTCTGACGATGAATTATAAGGATCACGTGTATTGTCAGACGGTGCTACCGCAGTGGTTCCTCATGAATAATGGATACCGGTATAAGTAAGTGTAATGAGAAACGCACTAATTGAATCTTCCGAGGTATAATTAATATAAACTATACGTCCGCAGACATTGGACTTGTGGGCATTAATTAAACGGCAGAATAGGATCTTATACCTATGGAGAAATGGTATTGTTCCGTTGATATTTTTCGAGCGCATCTGTCAAGGGTAACACATACCAAGTAATTTGCTTCCGAGATGAGGAAACTAAAACGGACGTGTATAAATTACAATTGCGTTGCAAACTGACCAATGTTTCAAGCGAAGTCTTAAAAAAAAAAAGGTCATTATATCTGTACGCCTGAAAACAATTTACTGACTGACAACTATCGCGATATTATGATTTTATAATTTGTGCAATAATTCTTTTTTATTTGACAGTCATATTATCATTTATATTACATTTTAAATATAAATAATATAATTGGAATAACGTTAATTAATGAAATAATAAATGTTTCCAAAATGTTGTACATTGCTTCTAATTATATTTTGCTTCTAACTTTCTGCCTGCGGCAAAGAGTCCTTATACGTGATAAAAACCTGACAACCTAATGGACTAACCGTGATGTACTTCATACTAGTTTTTACAGAGACCTAACTATATGACCGGAACAGATTCGGTTGAAAGACGACTTTGTATCCCAATTGTGAACCGCGGTGCCCGGGGCGATGTAAGTCGCGCTGACGAACATCTGGCGAACGAAATAAAAAGCAAATGTCTTGCGATCTCGTTTAATGCTTGCGAGATATTTCTTTTACGCGATCGTCATGCCGGATAATTGCCAAAAGGCACGGTACGTCGAAGTCTAAAGGGAAGCGCGATCGTACTGTTAGCCGACGATGCGTCGTTTTACGCTTGCGTCTTTTGTATCGTCGTAAAAATCAACGCTTGAACGCACATGTGATAATCTAGTGGTATGGCGAGATACGAGTAAAGGGACGTTAAGGTGCGTCTTAGGAGCGAAGAAAGTAAAAGGTATTCGAGACAGGGCACATATATGCAAAGGCTCCTTGAGCATCTTACGCACCGGTAACCGTTTACGGCGAATTTCTCGAGAAAATCCCTTATGTGCTAGCTCACAAGTATGCCTGTATGTGACAGCTTGACGTCTACAAAGTACTCTTTTTACCGCTTTTAACCTGCTTTCATCTCGTTTCCGTACGCTCGCGTTGTCAACGTTTTTCTCCTTACGTACTGGAATAAGAAAGATTTAGCGTTAATCGTAAGATTTTTGGCGACGACAACGCGAAATCACACATCGGATAGGATCTGTTTGAAGCAAGAATAGGACGGTGAACTTAATTCGATCGTTCGCAAATCGGTCAAACGCGGATGTCGAAGAGTGGAGAGGGTCTTAGTCACGCTTTGATAGTGGCTCGACACGAGTTTCCTTTCGGCACGATCGTCGAATGAATCTTTCCCCCCGTCATCTCACCACTTATCCATTAAAAACAAAAAGACCGGCAAATCAGGATTCTTGTTTCGTCGAAACCGAAACGAATGACCGAATAAAATTTTTCTCGGCCGACTATACATAGCACATGATTGCGATAGACGTTGGCAACAAAACGGCGACAATCGCCGACGACATACCGCGTCACGATCACGAAACTTCTAAAGCCAGGGGCCCCGTTAGACGACGATAGGATCGTCGTTTGCACGGACGAGCGAGCGAGTCACCGATCTCTCCTCGCGTCTCGTCTCATCTCTAACGCGTGGACCTCTTCCCGTCCCCGGTGCTTCATTCGCGAACAACCATTTGGCACAAGAGGTTCCAGCAGCGACCGAACATCCATTGAGGCAATTAGTTCTGGACGATATAGTCCGGTTTAGACGGCCGGCAACGCCGTCCGGTCTGCAGGTTGAATTCTCTGCTAATACCGCGCTTCGCCCTAATGCGTTCTTTCTACATGATCGTACGCAGCTCGACCGTAATCGCAGCTTGGTACCGCCACAAGGAAAATTTGCTCCCGTCGATTCGCAACGATGATTCCAACCGCGCTTGCGTTCCATCGAGCATGCACCGCGAATAAACGTAACTGCTTTGAAGGTAAAGGTAAAGGCTACGATCCAAAGGTTTCGATCCAAAGTAATCGATAAGAATTGATAACTGATATATTGACAATTCTTCGATATATATATATATATATGCATGCATTAGACATCGTACATTTGCATGTATCTTTTTTTTTATGAATTTATCGAGTAGATTTTTTTTAATGGAGGTTCTTATTCTCGCACGAACGGTAGAATTATTTAATATTACATAAAGTTACAGCACATCTGTATTCATCTAATAGTAGCAAACGCAAAATACGCCAAACTTTCCGCATCCTCGCGACTAAAGCTTTTCAAGAGGAATGTAAAGTAGTTTTTCTGCATGCCGATTGCCTTAATTTGTTTCAGCGTGTTAGACATTCAAACGTTTTACATTCAAGCGGAAATTATGCGCGAATTTACGTTAGTTTCAGTTGAAAAACGACACAATAAAACCGGAAACTTTCTTATTTTTGTAAATAAATTTTTTTCTTTTTTTTTTT